CAGAATCTCCTGGTCCCTTTGTGTTCTGGGTAGGGGATTAACATTCTCGGGCAGTCCTGTGTCAGCCTTCTGCCATCCCCTTGTTCCTCTGGGCCTCTACCCACTTCTGTGGCATGGAAAACCAAATAGATACCTTTAAGACCAGTCTGTGCACAGCCCAAATTGGAGAGCAGTTCAGGAGGGATCATAGAGTGCTTTCAAAAGCCTGTTGGCCAAATGGGAGGTCTTTTTTTTTTTTTTGAGAGGGTTGCAGGATGGGACATGGGTGGAAAGGTTGGATGTAGCTTTTATACCACTTCTCATCGTTGCTTTTCTTTACATTGAGGAGATCTCTCTGAAGCAGGTGGGTCAGAATCTTCCCCTGTTACACTTTTCCACCTGAAGGAGCTGTGTTCAAAATCTGCCTTCTCTTGGCCACACAAAATGAAATGGTTCAGGGCCTGGAGGCTGGAGCCTCGATTTTGGTTCTAGCTCACGCTTCCTTCTCTGTGGCCCCAGGCAGGTCACTTAGTCTCTCTGGGGCTCAGTTTCTACATCTGAGATATGGGGATAATGACAGCTTCCAGCTCCAGAGGTGGTCACAAGGATGACAGAAGTCAGTGACTTACCCACTCTCCCCAGGCAGGTGGAATCCATGTGCTGGCTGCAGCAGCAGGCATCTGGTCGGCCTCCCACGGACCTGCAGCCCCAGTCCTCAGATGAGCCAGTGCCCCTGCATGAGGCCCCACATGGGGCCTTCCGCCTGGCAGCCGGGGACCCATTCCAGGAGCCTCGGACAGTGGTGTGGCTGGGTGTGCTCTCATTAGGCTTTGCTCTGGTGCTGGATGTACATGAGAACCTGCTGCTTGCTGAGGGCACGCTTCGGCTGCTGGCACGCCTCCTTCTCAACCACCTCCGGCTGCTGGCCCCTGGAACCAACCTCTTGCTGCGGGCTGACCGAATCGAAGGCATCCTCACCCGCTTCCTGCCCCATGGTCAGCTGCTCTTCCTGAACGACCAGTTTGTCCAGAGCCTGGAGAAAGAATTCAGTGCTGCCTGGCCCCGTTGACCTTTCATTGGGCTGGGAGTTTGAGGATGTTTGGACACACAGCCAGGGCAAGGAGGGAGAAGGGGAGATGTTTGGACACACAACCAGCTGAAACCTGGCATCTGTTTCCTGCCCAGCCTGCTCCTCCTTTCGTGTGCTGTTACACCCAGGACAAGTGGATGAGGCAAGCTGGCAGAAGAGGTGGAGGGGAGGAATCACAGAACAGCCTGTGCCTGGAGCTACCACACGACTTATTCAGACTGCTGCAGTGGGCCAGCCCTGCTTGTCCTTAACCCCACTTTCTCCCATCCCTACCAGCCAGCCCCAAACAGTCCACCAGCCCTAGTGCTGGGGTAGTAAGGAGCAGCTGCCTGAAACACAGCCCACCTTCTTCCAAACCCACAGTCATTGCAGTGCAAAAGGAGTGTGAGACTCTTAGGGTACGGGAGCTGGCCCCTGCCTTTTCACCCACTTAAGCAACATCATCAACAAGGATTTGTCAGTGAGGAATTGCTCGGTGTCCAACCCCACCACAGTTCACAGATGTTTCAGTCATTCCCAAGGGGGATTCTGTAGGTCCTTTTGGGCCCAGCGCATGCCCATCAAGCAACCTTGAGATAATCATGGGCTTCCCTCATGGAGGGAGAGAAGGTGCCATCAAGTGGGTGCAAGAGGTCTGGCCTGCATGATGTTATCTTTCTTATTTTGAATTGAAAGCACCAACTGTGTGATTTTATTCTCCATTTCTGTGAATTTGATTAATGCATATCTGCTCCTGTGAGTAAGTACCTCTCTGGCCTTGAACTGGGTGTCTGAGCCTTTGTGGTCAAGGTTGCCCCCTCTTCTTATGTGCCTCCTTTGGATGGTAGCACTTGCTTCCTCTACCACAATGTGGTGGTTTTGTTTGGATTCCTGAGAAGCAGAGCCTGAGACAAGGACTAGGCACAAGCAGTTTATGTGGGAGGTGATCCCAAGAAGCACTGGAAGAGGAGGCAGCTCATCCAGGTGCGTTGTCAAGGGCTGCTAGGGAACTTGCCTCTGGCGGTGTCTGGGGCTGTGGGTGTTTGTCTGCTACTCCCTTCAGTCAGTGGTCATGAATTGGTCCCAGGGCAAATTCCCTGGCTCTTTCTGTCCTCAGAAAAAGCTCTCGGTGTATGGAGCTGGGCCTGCCTGAACAATGGTCAGGCCCAAAGGGGCAAGGGTGGTGCACCAAACTGTTCGGGAGTCTTTAAACAGCTTTTAGTCGTGGTTTAAAATAATTCCGTTGGAAAAAAACCTGACTTTGCATCTGTTTTCACAATCCGCCTGTTACCTGTGAGGTGTGGCTTTCTTGCATGGGCAGAATGAACTTCTTCCTAAGTGGTCAGGGTGCAGGTGTCAGCCCCATCTCCTTCCTGCCAAGCATCAGTTGCCCTTTGGCATCCAGGGAGGACCCACCCACCCTACTTAGGAGGCAGCACCTGCGTGACAGGTTTTGCCCTTCCAAGTCTGCAGACAAGGCCACCAGCCATGCTGTGCTTTTCATCACTACTATCACCATTGGGGTGAGGCCACCTCGACAAATCACTCTCTGATCGTGAAGATCTAAACGGACCTCAGGCTGTGTGTGGAGCAAGCCACACTACTGGAAATGTTCCACAGGTTCCCAGTGGGACACCCCTACCTTGTACTGTGTGCTCTCCTGGGCTGCCCCTCCCCTCATTACAGGCAGTTGGCCCTGGTGGAACGACCTTGTCACCAAAACAGGCCTGTCTGGCCTCTGTTGAAGGGCCCAAGCTTGGCTTGTCTGAAACCTTTCTGCCTATATTTCAAACTCGACTTGAGGAAGGGGGAGAGACCAGCTCCCCTAGAAGCTGAGGGAAGTTGGGGTTAACTGGGCTGGTGGCCTTGGTTCCCATGAAATGGAGGAAGCTGATATGCAAGGAATGGCAGAGATTGAGACCCTGCCTTGGGGCCACTGAGCCCCTGGTTTCTATTGTTCCAGATGCCCAGTGACTACCCGGATTTTTTTTAACCCTGAAGCTTGCCTAGCACCCTTTCTGTATATTCACACTTTTGCCCCAGGTTCAGGAAACCTCTGAACCAGGTTTCCATTACGATTTCTTATGTTTATCTAACCTTCATTGGGCCTGCCTTGGGCATGACACTGCTAGGTACTACACAGGGTATGAGATGCCCCCAATGGTCCAGGAGAGACAGAGCTGGACACAGGTGCCTGCAAAGCAGCATAGGTTGACCATCACTGAATTGATCCAAAGTGCTGTAAACGTCCAAAGGATTTTCTCCTATATTATCTCCTAAGAGTTTTATAGTTTTGTGTTTTATGTTTAGGTTTACGATCCATTTTGAGTTAGTGTTTGTGAAGGATATAAGTTCCATGTCTACTTTGATTTTTTTTGTATGTGATGTCCAGTTGTTCCAGGACCATTTTTATTGCCTTTTCTCCTTGGTTAAAGATCAGTTAACTATATTTATGTGGGTCTATATCTGGGCCCTCTTTTATTCCACTGATCTACTTGCTTATTATTTTACCAATACCACACTGTCTTGATTACTGTAGTTTTGTAGTAAATCGTAAAGTCAGGTATTGTCAGTCTTCAAACTTTGTTCTTCAGTATTGAGTTGGCTATTCTGGGTCTTTTGCCTCTCCACATAAACTTTAGAATCAGTTTGTCAGTATCCACTAATTGCTGGATTTTGAGTGGGATTGTGTTTAATCTCTAGATCAAGTTGGGAAGAACTGACATCTTGACAGTATTGGGTTTTCTTGTCCATGAACAGGGAATATCTCTCCATTTATCTAGTTCTTTGCTCTCTTTCATTAGAGTTTTGTAATTTTCCTCATATAGATCTTGTACTTATTTTGTTAGATTTATATCTAAATATTTCATTTTGGGGGTGTTGTACAGAACATAAGTGACTGCATCTTTAAAAAAGCCAATCTGCCATCTTGATATCTGGGTTAACCTGGCTCCTTGAATGTTTCCACTTCCCCCAGTGAGCTCTGGAATATGAACACAGAGCTCTGGGCTGATCACAGGATTCTCATTTATTTGTTCTCTGGAGTGAGGCCCCCTCTCTGTTTCTCTTAACTTGCTCTGGCACCAGAGCCTCCTGGCAGCTGGTCTCTTTGATCATCCACTCATTTTCACTGCTTTTTGCTATAAAACACAGAGTCTGGGACGTGGAAGGCATGGGGATCCATTTGTCTTGCTGCTGCCTGAGACTGCTTTCTGTGTGTAAGTTCCATATTAAACTCTTTAAACCTACAAACTGGACTTGTCTGCTTTATTCTTTGGCCTCTTGGCTCCCTTCAGCTGTTTTGCATACATGGCCCTTTCATGAAACAGGTGTTAATGTTAATGTTTTTAATTTTAAATTCCACTTGTTTATTGTTGGTATAGAGGAAAGTGAATGAATTCTAAATATTAACCTTATATCCTGCAACCTTGCTATGATTGTTTATTAGTTCCAAAAGGTTTTTTTTATCGATTCTCTCAGATTTTCTATGTAGACAATCATGTCATCTGTGAACAGAAACAATTTTATATCTTCCTTCCCAATCTAGATAGCTTTTATTTCCTTTTCTTGTCTTACTGCATTAACTAGGACTTCCAGTACAGTGTCAAAAGGAATGATGCGATGGGACTTTCTTGACCTGTTCTTGATCTTAGTGGGAAAGCTGGTTTCTCACCATTAAGTATGATGTTTGCTGTAGGTTTTTGTAGATATTCTTTATCAAGTTGAGGAAGATCCCCCTTTATTCCTAGTTTGCTGAGAGTTTTTATCATGAATGGATGTTGGATTTTGTCAAGTGTTCTTTCTGCATCTGATCATATCAGATATGATCATGTGCTTTTTCTTTTTTAGTCTGTTGATGTGATGGATTACAATGATTGATTTTCAGATGTTGAACCAGCCTTGCCATATCTGGGATAAATCCCTCCTGGTCACAGTGTATAATTCTTTGTATACATTGTTGGATTCCATTTGCTGTTATTTTGTTGAGGACGTTTACATCCATGTTCATGATCTGTACTTTTCTTGTGATGTCTTTGTCTGGTTTTGATATTAGAGTAATGCTGGCCTCAGAATGAATTGGAAAGTATTCCTTCTGCTTTTATCTTTTTGAAGAGATTTTAGAGAATTGGTATATTTTCTTCATTAAATGTTTGGCAGAATTACCAATGAACCCATCTGGGCCAGCCTTGACTTTTTAACATGTTTATTTTTTAAATTAAATTTTATTTTCCAAACAGATAACATGGTTTAGAAAATCAAAATGACAAAGTTTTCACTGAAAAACTTGCTCCCACCTATGTCCCCATCCACCCTGTTCCCCTGACTTCCCCGATGGACACTAGCTTTCTAGGTTTCCTACATGTCTGCCTATCTCTCTTTATATTATACAAAGATTAGCAAATATGAACATACGTTCTTTTTCTACCTCCTGCCTGCACTGTTTTTCTATACAATGGGCTGCCTACTATTTATAGGCTTCTCCACTTGCTTGCTTCACTTAACAGTGTAGCCTGGAGATCTTTTCACAGCTGTTCATAACATTCTTATGCTTTTTTATTCTTATTGTGTGGATATAGTATAGTTCATTTAACAAACCTAAAAATCCTATGAAATATTTCATGTTTACAAAAAGGTTCTTAGAATTATATAATGAGCGTCCAAATACCTATTATTTAACTTAAGGGGGAAAACAGTCTTAATTCATTAATTTCTGCTTTTATTTTCATTCAGTAAAGCCTGTTTTCACTTAGTCTATGTGTAACTCTTTAAGAGTGCTTAATTCTTTTGTTATCGATCTTTTTAAAAAGGTTGGTATTAATGTTTAAGTTATGAATTTTCTTCTGACCACTGCTTTAGCTGTATCCCATAGTTTCTGATATGTGGTGTTTCCTAGAAAATCTTCAGTTTCAGTTTTTTCCTCTTTTATTCTCCATTTCTACATGACCTCATAAGAACAATATTCCTGCATTCTTGTATGTTCAGAAAAACTGTTTAGAGCCTTATATTTGGTCTTTTTGCCTGGGTGCCCTAAAGATTCTTTATTTTCCAGTAACATTACTAGACTATATCTTTTTCAAATGTAGATTGAAATCCTTTTTTTTTAATTTCAGAAACATTTTCCTGAATTATATTTTTAAATAGCTATTATATTTCATTGTTTTTGTTTCTTCAGGGATTCCAGTTATGCACTAGTTGGCTCTCCTTTGCCTATTATCCATAGCTATCTCCAGCCACCCCTTAATTCTTTCAACATGGCAGATACCAGAAAGCACCAAAAAGAAAAATCACTTCCTGAAGGTGTATCTCTTATTTTCAATGAAGTAGGACCTGCATTGCAAAAGCCCCACTGGGCCCAGTTTAACCCAGTTAAACCTAGTTTAACCAGCTTAACCTAGGAGAGAGCCCGTAGGCTATGAAGTTCATGAGGCTCAGACCTCTGCCTTCTGGGGATTCCACGTGTTCCACCCCTATGGAGTTGGTCCATCCCTTAGTATTCCAATGCCAGTGGATTGAGCGCTTATCCTCCTTGCAGTGGGATACGCAGTACTACCACAGCACATCATATGTGTCTCTTAGGCGTCACTGGTTCTCATCTGCTTCTGTGGAACTGTCAGTCTCACTTGGGCCTCAGGG